TAAAATTCTCCAGCTGAGTTCCACACACAACACACTCCAACAGCATGCCTGTCTGACTGTCAGAGAAACCAGGAGAGACACAACAGTTAGATAACACGAGCAAGCCAGTTCCTACCGATGTGACAACGGCATTTTCCTGACCCTAACCTGAACACACCACCCGCCAGGCTTCTTCCCTCGTCTTCTCTTTCCCTGATCCTACACCACAAAACCCACTGTTCTACCATTGGCCCAGCGAGAGGGCTGGTTCTATTTTATGACCATCCCAAATCTCAAAATCACAACACAAACTAATGGGATCTGACATTGAGTTTGTCTTTCAACCTCCTTTCCACAGTACTGATTCACTGGGATGACATCTCTGTCCTCAGAAATTGCCCCCTAACCTAGCTACTTATTCTTTGTGTCTAGTATATAAACTGTAGGGGAATCTGTAGCCATGCCTTCTTAGGGGCTGGCTACAGGAGTACCTGAGGGCTTGTGAGGGCGTGGTCAGAGTGAGTAGGGGGACTGCGTTTTCGGTTTCGTTTTCTCTTTGCTTCTTGCTGTACAGACTACCACCGGCTGGCTGGTTCGCTCTGTAAGTAAGGCTTTTCCCTATTAAATACCCTTATATTTCTACCTGATTCCGTATTGGTAATTTCCTACTATAATAACCGTATTCAAAAAGTTGGGGGCAGGTGTCATTGTAGAGTGAAAAAGCCTAAGGGTGACCATCTTTGTAAAGTGGAAGCTAGCCAGGCCTGGTAGCACTTGAGAAGCAGAGGCAGGTGGATCTCTGTGAGTTTGAGGCCAGCCTGGTCTGCAGAGCGAGTCCCACGACAGCCAGGACTATGCTGAGAAATCCTGTCTCAAAAAACCAAAAAGGAAAAAGGAAAGTGGAAGCTAAGTTCACCCACTTTCACTTTCTGAGACATTGTGGCAGATCTGAAGAAACTACAAGAGGGAATTCAGGAGAGCAACTGCCTGAACTCTGCAGCAGGGCCAAGGGTCTGTTCCTGGGTGCAGGGACCGTGACTAATGAAGCAGAGGGAGCAACCAGGAGACCTGGCCAGTTTGCTCAGTAGGTCAGTCCTCCTGCCTTCTCATCTATCAACGGAGAAAGCGAGTTTCCCATGACACACCCATTCTCATTTAAAGAGGGCCAGAGGGGAAAGTCCTCAGTCACCCTTTTGGCAATCCTTTCCCTATCTCCAGTCTGCATCCTGGATGGGGAAAGGAGGGCACAGAGAGAAAGAGTGAAGGCCAGGCAGTGAGGACTGGTCACCTGTGCCACGATAAGAAGTCAGAGGACTAAGAGCCTGGGCAAGTTTGTTTAAGACTGTCAGAACTCAGGGAGGTAAAGGAGAAAGAGAGAAAGATACTAGAAACCGTGTGTGTTTAACACACATGGTCATCCACATCTTCCCCAAAAATATTGGTAAAGTACGACAGAAGAAGACCACTTAGAAAGAAGTTGAAATTCATGTAACATAAAACCAACTATTTCAAGCGCACAAATCAATGGCATTTGGTACATTCACACGGGGCATAAAGCCACCACTTCTGTCTGATTGGTTCCAAAACACACCCGTCACTCCCACGGCAATTCCAAACCCACAGGCAGCCGGCCTTCTTTTCCCAAAACTACTGGAAACCACTCACCTGATTACAAAATTTTCACAAAGCCAATTACCACCAAAAAAGCAGAACAGAGTCCAAAGCTGGTGGCAAACCACAGAAGATGGGCGGGGGAGGGGTGGTGATTGTTACCACCCAAAGCCCTAGGAACTACAGGACCCTAGGAGAGGCAGGAGGAGGGTTACAGTAATAGGAGATTGGGGTTTGGCGGTGTCTACCAGGCCCCTGAAATATGAAGATCACAGAGCTTTACTGAAGGACTACAGCAGGGATGCTCAGGTCGTCCGAGGCCAGGCTGCTCCACACAAGGACTCTGTTATTCAGGAGTAGGAAAACCCCTTGCATTTTTAGGCCATCGTGCATCCATCTACAAAATGCCAGGGGGGAACAACGAAGGACACAGCTCACCAGAGCCAAACTCAACTGTGTGCTTTTTAGCTTTTGTGAAAACAAGCCATCTCTGGGGACAACAGGTGGCATTTCCCAGCAAGCTCTTTTCCACCACCTTGGGACCCTACACCCCCTGGCTCCATCGTTCTCTTCGCCCAGCACCCTCTACCAGTGTCTAACCCTCCTGAGACTCCTATACGTTATGCAATCCTGTAGCGGTTTGGTATAAAAATACCGTCCCCCTGGACGACTGCAACTCTGGGGGTGAAATGCTTATTCCAGCTCCACGGAGCCACTGCTCTGTATCATTTTAACCCACAGGGAGGGGCTGATACCTTCTCACTCCTCACCTCTGCTTGAGCCAGCATGGGGCACCGGGATGACCCCTGCTTCCTATGGCTTTTCTTTTCATGTCAAAAACAACAGCAGTCATTTCTCCCTCCCAAGGAATTCTAAGTCTTAACACAATCCATTTAAACACATGCAGACTCTGTCCTTGCTTAAGAGTGTGTGTGTGTGTGTGTGTGTGTGTGTGTGCTCGTGTAGTCAGTCTTCTGCATCAGATTCAACGGCAGATTCAACCAACCAGGGGTATAAAATAGTTCACCATAAATACTGCTGTCAACCTGAGTAGGTAGAATAGATTTTTCGGATTCATCCCTAAGCAACGTTAACAAATCAACTCTTTATATAGTGACTATATTGTGTTAGACAGTATGAATACTGTAGAAATGATTTAAAATATGCAGATGTGCTAAAGTCCTATCAAAAGACTACACCATTGTATGTAACAGACTTGAGTATCTCCGGACTTCAGTATCTGGGAGGTCATGGAACCTTCTGGCATCACCATATACATACATACATACATACATACATACATACATGTGTACATACATAATATGTGTGTACATTGCTACATACATGTATACAACTAGAATATATATAGTTACATATTAATGCCAAAACATCTATCCATATCAATTTAAAATATACTTCTGCCAAAGTGGTAA